AGCAGGAATATCATGTGAAAGATGTTAATTTAATCATTTTCGAGGTACTGATTCGGCTAGGTTGTACAGTTCACTACTGTCGAATTGGAGCTAAAATCTAGGTTAGGTCTAAGTTTGCTAGAGAGTCCATTACGACAACAGGAATGTCATGTGAAAGATGACAATTTGATACTCTTTAGTGTAGTGATCGGGCTAGGTTGTACAGTTGACTATATGTGGAATTTGATCTTAAATCTAGGTTTGTTAGATAATCCATCGGGGCAACAGGAATATCATGTGAAAGATGTTAATTTGATACTCTTTAGGGGTACTGATGTTAGGGTACTGACTAGGCAATGTTGTATAATTTGATGCTGACAAATTCGATTTTAGATTCTTAAACTACCTAGCAGGTGTAGACCTAACTTACTAGGTCTAGGCATGACAGATAGTCCATCAAGATAGCAGGAATATTATGTGAAAGGCGATAATTTGATAGTTTTTGGGAACATTGATTGGACAAGGTTGTATAGTTCAATGCTGTCGAAATAAAAAGAGGTTAGGGTCTAAATTTAATAAGTATTTGGTGATAGTGTACGATGTCAATCTGATACTTTTTGATGGTACCCAAAAGGAAGCCTACGTATAGCTTAGATCCTAGTTTACTAGTGTAATTGAAGTGTAGTGTCCGTCTATGTATTTATTGTGTTTATTGATCAATATCACAGAGTGGCAATGGGACACGTAGCATCCAAGATAGTATACCATTAAATTTGTAGGACATGGGACACACAACTAGTCCAATGTATTTCGAGATGGAATAATTACACAGGAAAACCGTCAGGAATATTCAAAGGAGTTCACGGAGCATAGGATAGCCATTTGAACCGAAAATGAAGATTCTCGCGTAACAGTCTGTAATATGTCTCAGAGATGCTCTACAATTACACAGAATAATATATCCGAAACAGAGTACTTTTAATGACGTCCTTTGTCATCCAACGTAATAGAAAAGTCTAACTAAATTTCAACACAAAATTCTGATTTAATTCTACACTTAAACATTTACACATATACAGGGTGAACCACGAATCGTGATCAGTAGAAATTACTGTTAGTAGCAGTCCGATCGAAAATGTTTTTATCAGGTATAACATGGTTTCAAGAGAGCTTTAACATGATTATAGCAACTTTTTTTTTCATGATTTTTCAAGGTCACTTTCAATTTTCTTTCAAAACTTCAATTAAAAAAAAAAGTAACACATCTTATGTTATGATACTTACCGAATTCGTCTTGAAATCCTCTAACAGATGGGCGTAAAAGAATTATAGGTGTATTGGCAATAAATTGAAGGTGACCTTGAAAGATCATGAAAAAAAAAGAGTTGTCAAAAAATTTGCTATAATCACGTTAAAGCTCTCTTGAAACCATGCTATACCTGACAAAAACATTTTCAATCGGACTGCTAATAACAGAGTCATCTGCTAATAACAGTATAGCTGTATTAAAGTCGTGTTATCATTAGTATAAATTTGAAATTTGTTAAATTTGAAAATTTGAATGAACGACACCATAAGAGTCCAAAGGGACCTCTGTACCGCCAACAAAACCGTCAATATCCCGTGGCTTGATGGCTTTGCCACCCAGTTCCATTGCGTTCGCGCTGAAAACATGTTGCCATTCGCGAAAAAAAAAACGCGGTTCGTTCAAAGAGAACGAGAAAACTTTCGCCCGCTCGAGCAACAGATTGTTCCCCGAGTTGAAGGGTTCTCCGTCGGGGTGGAGGGGCAGTTAAAAGGGAGCAACACAAAACGCACAAACCTAGTGAAGAGGGAAGGGGAAGAGAGTGGGGAGGGGGAAGGCCAGTCGACTGGCGTGTAATAAGAAAAAGCGATCGATCGATCGCGAAGGCTATTTTCCGGGTTGTCTCGACAAAAAGTCGTCACTACCATTTCCTTCCAACGGCAACTTTTGTTTTTTTTTTGTTGTTTAGTCCCCGTTTAAAAATAACAACCGGCCCGCAACGAAGACGAGCCACGCGAGTCTCTCCTAGATAACGATGATAATCCAGTGAAAATGGATGCGCCCTGCTACCCGTGGAAAAGTTTCAACGAGCGAGAAATGAATTTTCGAGGGCGTCATCGGGCTCCCAGAATTATCCGGGAGTTTTCGACGGCGTAGATAATTCACTCTGAAATGTTTCGCAGTTTAATCGGACCGCATTACGAACGACGTCGAACATCTATGTTGTAATCCGCTTTCAGAGCGAAGACCACCCTTTGTACGGACCCGTTAATTTCAAACATTTATAGAAAAGCTGCTATAATTTCCCCATTGAATTCGATAGGACGCTGGGTAACACTAGGTTTACGGGACGCGTCATTTCGACGCATTTCGAATGCTTTCTAACCTCGAAATTCTCTATGTGGTATACCTATCTCTATAGCTATGCATTAATTTCAGAGATCATAAATTGTGTATTACATAAAACAAGTTGTTTTTTAAAGAAAATCTGCGGGTTCGTTGATGCGTGCCGTGGAGATACCTACACGATAAGTGCCCGTAAACCTAGTATTAATCCCAAAATCGCAAGGGTCCGAATAGGATATTGATAGGCTAAGTTTAGCGTATACACCAAACGTCAAAACCTGTGTGGATAGCACGTCAGCAAATGGGTTTCCTCTTGTAGGAGCTCGTGAATTACGGTATCCAAGTCTCGACATCAAAGAGATAGCGTTGATTCACACACACACACACACATACGAGTTACTTACATGCTGCATCGGATAAGCGGCGCTACCGACGAACAGGTCCCATGCCCAGGCGAAGATTCGCGCGCAAATGTGCATCGACGTCACCGCCACCGTGTCGAATGGTACACCGCCCAGCGTCTCTAGGACACCAAGACCACCCTATGGTGACGCGATTCTACCGTCAGAATCACGATTACATCTCATCTCCCGTCACCCGACACGACAGGATCCTCTAATTTGTGCACCGAGGGTGTTCGATCATGTTTTCCCGCCATCTGGGCTACATCACTCCGAGAACAGTTCTAATCTTCCTTCTTCTTAAGGCCTGGGTCCTTTCAGGTCATTGATAAGATTTTTTTCAAAGAAACGTATCAATTTCGATATTCCCCCAGACGACCCCCAATTGGATCGTTCGTTCGGGTCCCTATTGCTTTGGGGCTATAGAAAATCTCGACACCCGATTCATCAAGCGCTAATGTTCCTTAGGGGGACGCACAAGGCGATGAAGTTTGATCAATCAATAGAATTTTCCTACCCGTTCGATCTTCTTCAAACCGACGCGATGAGCCTGACTCTGGAAACCTCTGCCACCCAGAGGTAGCAGGCTCTGCTGCCAGGCTAGGGCCTGGCCGCGTCCAATCACTCGAACCGTCTACATCTGTTGGATATGAAACATCGAATCACTGGCCTGAAATACACTGTCGGATCTAGGATCTTCTATAACCGTCATGTCAGTTTTTAGCTTTTGGTACTAGCTCAAGGCTCGCCTTTGATTATACAACACAGGGTGCAATTCATCGATATGCTGCGAATGTCAGCGGCGTTTATTCAATCGCGATTCTGTCAGAACGTCACTCAACCACGCTTGGAAGAAAACGATCGAACGTTCGACTGGCAGACGAGTAATTGCATTCCCATTACGGCGAGGAAAGATAACCACCCATACCCTAACCGGGGCTCGAACTGTTGTACACTGTTTAGGTTTCCGTGGCCGGTGTGCTACACGCGACGAGCTACTTGTTGATCGACACTGGGGTCCACGAGCATCACCACCACACAAGCGTTCCACCTAAAACATCACACGAAGGCGTTAAGTCTCTTGTCTAGGTGGGCCAACGATTTATCACGTGAATAATCCGGTGATCGAGGGGTATCGATATCGATGTATGTTGGGGATACGAACTTTTTTAGGGGTCTATGAAGTGATCACTGTGACCAGGGGATTGACAAATGATTCTATGTGTCGGACACTGATTCTTCGGTACACAGGTGATTTATCAGGTGTAATGCGTGGTGTGTAAATACGTGTTAAGAAAGAATGTTTTCCGGAACACTCCACGGAACGCTCCCGTCTGAGGGACTGAGCGACACTGACGGACGAAATGCGCGCGTGCCGCTTGGGAACACATAGGGGACGCGGAACGCATGTCAAAATGTGTCTACGGGAAAAGTACACAGCCCTTACCGAGTGGACCCGCTTAACAAGTGGTGTAAATTGAAATAAAATATTGGATTACTGCCGGGGTGGCTGGGAAGACGAGATGCGGAGACGATTTTGCGAAAGAAAATTAAATTGAGGAACTCTGAATTAAACATGTAAAGTTGCGGTTAGTACAGTTTAAATACAAACTAAATTATGAGTAAAAGCATAAAAACCTATACACAAAAATCTAATTTGTCTGCAAATGATTAATAAGAAGAAATTAAAAGAGTGCAGCCAATTTTATAGATGTGATAAAATAGATGAGAGAGGAATTTAGCATTCTGGTATTAAAAATTGTTAGATATACGATCAAAATTTCATACAATAAATACTGTATAAATAAATTAAACTATTGTTAATCGAATAATAGATTCATTAATAGACGCAGTAACATAACATTTCATGTTTTGCAGAATCAGAGGCAATAAGTATTATTTGTTAAATTTTCTCGCTATAATATCTTCTCTAGTTCGTGTCGCCATCATCTGTTAAATTAAGAATGAAAATCCTTAAGATATACATATTGTAATTTTTGGATTTTTCACTGCAATATATGCTCAAACATCTGTGTTAAATAATATTATTGTTATACTAATTACTTACACTTATAAATTCCTCGAAATAGTATTTTAAATTTGAAAGCTAACTTATGCGAAACGTTCTGATTTTGAATCTGTAACGGTTTCACAGATGGTGGTTCAATGGATTTCTAGTGTGGCGCCATAGTGTTAAAGGGTTATCGACTGATGGTAAACTTGTTACCGAAAATACCGTTACCAGAAATTGTCACTCGCATTAAATGTGTTTTATCATAGAAACGTATATTTTTTAACACAAAGCTTCTGTCGGATACTGTTGCAATTAAATTTATCTCTTGATTATTATCAATCAAGTCAAGGGAAAATTACTGTAATCTACAAACTCACTGAATAATCAATGAACCCTGCCAGTAATTCATTAAATGCTCGTAAATATTTTGATGTTCAATATATTGATATATTTAAATACCATAATACAAATTGAAATTATTTGTTTATTGTCCAACGGATCGGCTGACATTCGGCAACCTTATTTTGCCTCTTTTTTTTTTTGACTACATAGTGCTATCTAACAAAGACGGAGCAGTCCCCTTCGTATCAAACAGCTGATTGTTAAATCGAAATTCTGTGAAACAAACACAAAGCACGGTTATCTGAGAGACACGCTGTACCTTGCAAGTATTGACAAGTGCCTGTAACTTATATTCGTTTATTTTGAATTTAAACAATGTTACGTTTTCATAAACTTTTCGAAAAAGGAAAGTGTTCTGTGATTGGAATGGTACATGTTGCTGCATTACCTGGTACAGAATTTTTATTAATTTTTGTTGATTGATCAAAATTTTGCACTACTTAAAAATTTGCTAGTGCCTAGATTATTGTGTTGTGTTACATTGTTCTGCAAAAACAAAACATTACGAAAATTACTGAATGCTAGTTTTATCACTGTTGGTTTTTAAGTGCCAATACAATGGTGTATCTCTGCTCCTGATATAGATGAAAATATCTGTTGTAAATAATGTTCTTTTGAAAACAGCATATTTTTCACATTGTTAATCAATGAAGTAACAGTATCTAAAAAGAGTTTACTTGAGAAGCACATTCTTTTGTGAAAGTATTTAATGAGTTATGAAGCTAGTGATTTCAATTAATGTATTTCAGGCACACCTCTATACAGTCATAATACAAAAAAGATTATAGATGATGCAGTCAGAGATGCTGCAATATACAGAGATTACAATGTTGTAAGTTTTATTGTAAAATATATAAAGTATACCTAACCCTGTAACAGAGAAACCTATTTTACTTTATTTTGAGGATGGTATCTTAGTGGAAAATATGCATGACATTCCATATGTAAAAGCCAAAAACTTATCTCCGGAAATTACAGCAATGATGACCAGAGTGTGTACAGAAATTAAAAGAATATTACCTGAAAATATACCATGTGGTATACAGGTAAAAAACTACAGATTAACTGCTGCATCGATTATAATTTTAACCATCTACTGAGAACAAGTGATAATAGATTTTAGCAGGCTGTAACAAGGAAGCAATTGCTGTAGCAAAAGCTGCAGACTTGCAGTTCATCAGGGCAGAAGGGTTTGTCTTTTCTCATATTGCGGACGAGGGATTCATAGATGCATGTGCTGGTAGCTTGTTACGATACAGAAAACAAGTTGATGCCAATGATATACTTGTTTTTGCTGACATTAAAAAAAAACATAGGTGATTGGTGATATTTCAGTGTCACGAGGAACTTCATTGGATATATATACTTCTTTTATTAATTTAAGAATTGTGATATCTTCTTGAATAGTTCACACGCTGTCACTTCTGATGTCAGCTTATCAGAAACAGTGAAAGCAGCAGAATTTTTCTTAGCTGATGGAATAATACTGACAGGAACTGCCACTGGTAATCCGGCTAGTACAACAGAACTTAAAGGTATCCTTTGTTTTATATCAGTCAATAATTTTTTGTAGATTTTGCTACAAATATTTAATACCCTTATCAAAATAATATTGTACAGAGATTAAAAAGACTGCCAAAGGCCCTATACTTGTTGGATCCGGTGTTACAATAAACAATATAGAAAACTACGTATCCTCTGATGCAATAATCATAGGATCACACTTCAAAGTTAATGGAGTTTGGAGCAATGCGGTTGACCAAGAAAAAGTTAAGAATTTTATGTTGAAAATGAAATGCATATAATTATAGAGAAGATAATATTTCCATTACGAAAGTACTATATTTTTTTATTACTTTTCACAAGTATATTTTCAATACTTGCTTATCAATACAGATTACATATACCCATAAGTGATGCACTTTTTTTCCATTCTTGTTAATCGAACAACGTTTCAATAATTAACGATAATCGGAAATTCAAATGTACTGGCAGAAAAAGCTTAATTATATGGTAAAGCGGAAACACGCGCAACCGGTTTTACGGAACCTGTCCCCCACTGTGTGCATGAATAGGCATTTAATGGCAGGGTGCAAACTCGGAAACCGAACCGAATTTATTGTAATAAAATCACTGACCATATATCCCTGAAATTTACAAACGTGGCATTTTTTTATAATTTCGGATAAATTCCTCGGGAATTTATCTCATCGATGTTTCAAGAAATACAAGGGGCGATATTTTTTCACTTTCGTTTATGTTTTCATGCCCGAAATAATCGAATTATTTTCATAGGCGACCGAGTACGCGACAGGATATCGAGATGCGATTTACGATTGCAGAATTCGCCACTTGGCAGCGCAATTCCCGCGTTTTCAGTGTATAGTATGTGCCAAATCTAGACACCGTGCTCGTGATACTGAGAACATGCCAACAGGAAAATTCAGTATGCGTCCTCGTATTTATTATTGACGAATATCCGCCGCGCACTACTTCCGCAATGTATATAAAAGCAATATACACGCAATAAGTATGCAGAGACAGATATTTACTTCTAGGAAGAAAGCGTAAGAGCATATTTATAATTCAACGGAAATAAAAATGGCGAGTGAAGAGTAATTTTTTCTTTCACAAATGAAATTCGTGGTTTATAATTACGTTTCTGCGTGTCCATTATTTCATGTGTATGCTTTTGTCATAATTTCTCGCTGTTGCGTGTTGCATCGGTGGACGGTTATCTACATACGTCGCAAATATGGCGGCGAGTCGAACCATTAAAACTCCATTATCCTTACGTTTCTAATCTATTACCGCATTCTGATAATTTATATCCCTCGAAACCGCATACAGGTTATTTCTATAACTATTCAATAACTGGTGAATGTTACGAATTTAGAGGAAAAACGTAAAAATATAGAGATCCATTTCTTGACTCATTCTTTTCAAGTATCTATCAAAGGCCTCGAAAAATCAATTCGAACGGTGGAGTATGACGATACTGGGTCGTACAAGAAACAAAAAGTTCTCGTGTACGATTGGTTACCGTTCGTGCATTAACTCGTGTCAATCCCAACAGGGAAACGGAAACGAAGGGATCCCCCAACCAGTATTGACAGGGCTGATTCGCGCAGGCGTCTAGCTGCTAGTCAGACTGCCACTATGCCACCGTTCAACAGTGGTATTCTGATTTTCTTCCATTCACTCTAAAAATCAACAATTTCACCCAATTTCCCCGTGTATCCCATTGTGCACGCATACATCACTCGAGCAAGCCTCATCAGTACCGTTCATAACCTCGTTAATCTCATTCATACATAACAATAGGATTACGTGAGATACAATAATACCACCGATTAAACTATATATACATTATAATGAGTACAGTGTGTACCTGCAACCGTAGCATCCCAATGATTACAGTTCCTAAATTACAACCAGTGTTTACCTAAAACCGATTCTCCACAGCTCGACTGTTTTCGCATAAGGTTCAGTGACTCTACACCAAGGTTTCATGTCTTATTTTGAGAAGCACTGCGAAGCTACCATCTTGCCACCAGTTGGGTTAGATAGGCGATGTCGCTGCTAAATTGAAAACTGCTTTGTACCGAACGGGGGAAACATAATGGCGTGGGCTGGATAATTAAGCTGGTCGATCCACGTCGAAACAGGGAATCCATTCTTTTCCAGGCCCTCGATGATATCCGTGGGTTACGCGCGACGTTGTTTTTCGCGAACTAACGGAAATACAATCGACAGACCTGGGTGTAAAAAGGAAGTTTTCCAAGTGTCCCCAGCGTTAACAGTGACCAGCAGCTGTTCGCCCAGCTGAGCGTTCCCCCACCCACGATAACTGCTCACTGCCGAATCAATGGATCCCTGGGCCCTGTCCCCCTCTCCCTGTATCTTGCTTCTCTCGTTGATCGTCACCACGTCTTGTGTCAGGCGATGATGTGCCCTTAAAAATACGAGCGCTTTTGTTTGTAACTTGCGAAATATTGGAGTTACGCCGGATGATGACGTTCGCGGAACTGTTCGAACCGCGAACTCTAACCAGCCTGCGAAGGTCGGGCGTAAAAATAAAAATCGCTCCGAAATACCATGTCTACATGCACCACACGATGTAGTGCTCTCTCAGGCTCTGGGATTCCTGCGAAAACGTTATTTTGACAGCGCGGACCGAGACACACGTCAGTCGCCTCCGCAGCTGGCCGAGCTTCGGTAATCATTATTATCGACGGGTTAGCCCTCCTCTGACGGTGTAGTTGCATCGAGAATAACATAAATAACAGACGGTTAAATGTTACTGGCATTATCGCCCGCGGCTTTGTATACATATTTTATACCGTCTTCTAACCAGCCCCAAGTCGGTTCATCGTTTTTCCGGTTCCTGCCATTCACAGCGATTTTCTTAATCTCTTATATACATACGTGCATCTACCGAATCTTTTTTTCTAATTAATCTGTAAAAACAAACCTCATCGATCAACCGATATTCCAATAGATACGAAAAAAAAAAATCGAAATCTAGATGGTGTCACTGATCGCCAAATGATTGACTGCACGGGGGATATTAATAGCTACTGGAACAATGTCTGTGTGTGTGTATGTTTATATACACGAGGATTGTTTATCACAGGTGAAAATCATTGATTTTTTCCCCAGATATAATGGGTCCTCAAGATATAGCCGCTGGTGGAGGTGAAGTGAGATCGATGACAGGGAAAGGGCGCCCTGAGCCGCCACGATTACACGTCCCTGATATCGCTTTAAAAGCCCTCTCCCCGCTGCTCGCGTTCCCCCCACCCGCGCTCTCCTCCGTACCTCTGCTCTCGCCCCTCGGCAACGGCTTGACTGCCCAGCCAGCCAGTCGAAATCAGCTGACGACTATTACTGCGGGCAGTTGCTACCACGGCTCCTCAAACGCAACACTGTTCAGGCGAGTGGCTCTCTCCTTTTGCTTCATAACACTACATACTCTCTTCCTCTATTCGTTCTATCGCTGTCGTTCACCATTTTGTGTAGTCCCTCTCTCTCTCGGTTTCGTGATTATTCTTCTTTTCTTACCTGCCCCTGGCCGTGTCTACCTGTTAGTGAGCGAGCCATCAAGAGGAACGGGGAAAAAGGGTTCCCCTCTTCCCCCCCCCCCAACTGTGTGTCGTGGCCCCCCGAGCGAGAGAAAGGGCTACAGAGGGCAAAAGGGAAACGAAGTGCGAAGAAAACGGGACGGAACCAGGGGGAATCTTCGGAGCGAAGACGAAACTTAGTGTGTGTTGAGAAGTATAGACTGAGAATGTGTCCACTGCCTGGCGTGTGTGTATAATAACGCGAGTGGTTTGACAACTGCAATGTGTGTATGTGGTGTGGGTTTTGCTACTTAACTACGTTACCCACTCGAAGGAAAACTACTCGAATGCTTGACTACACTTGTCCACCCGTGTCCCTCTTTCGGAGCGGCAACAGAGCGCGAATTCGAGATCAAGGTCGTTGTCACGTAGCCAGTGTGCAAGTATATATGGAAATTTGACGTTTTGTGGGGACAGACGAATGTGGCCCGGAGAAAGGCTTCTTTATTAATCTTGGAGCAAAAGTGCTCTAGTCACGGTCCTTGTTGGGATGGGTGACCGTGTGGGGAGAAACAAATCCCCTTCCTCTCTCTAGCTAGACTCATCATTATCCGGTACTATTGTGTAGCCACTACACACTTTTAACGACCCAAGAGAGTCGATGATGGTCGGAACACGTACACGGACATAGTGTTGTGTTGTCGTCAAGGGAAAAGCAAACAAACAAGCTGTGTGTTTATACACGAAGAATTCTTTCGGATGACGGGTGCCAACCCAGGTGTGACATTTCACGAATATTTCTTATCGACGGAGCGAGCCCCACACAAGAATCACGTTTGTGAAAGTGATTAGGAAGACAGCCAGTAGTAACGGCCTTGTAAAGCGGTCGGTCGGTCAGGATCGAAGAGTGCGAAGAAAATAGAGCTAGAAAAGCCTTCTCCCTTTTTTCTGGTGTTCCGTGTGTGCGTCAATGCGATAGACGAAGGATGCCAGTTGGAGCGAGAGAGTGAGAAAAGCGAGTGAGTGGGAGAACGAGATGATGATATATAGTGTAGTAGTGGGGAATATTCGATCGAAACAATGCAGTGCAGGAGCGCTTGGTAACCGCTTTGGTGATCGACGCATGGATTGTTAGAAGTGCAAGGGCAATGGCAGTGGTTACCCACTGTGATATCCCTTCCTCCAACCGTCTTCCCCCGTGTGTCATGTTGTCGCGTCGAACACTACACTCTAGTTCAGGGAAACCACACATACAGAAAGAAAAAAAAACAGTGACAGAATGATTATGTTGCCTGGACTCGGTGAGTTCTCTCGTCCCGAGACGGTCAATTGTGCAATGTCGCCGATTCGCAAATGGTGCGTGAGCCAATGCTTCTATTCTCGGTACCGATACACACCAACCTCCAACACATCCTTTTTCATCCACGGATCAAGCCACACACAGAGAGAGGGAGAGAGAGTGAGAGAGAGGAACTGATGTGTGTAGCCTCCTAACCCGCCACACCGAATATACACCCGTGTGTGATTCGGTGTTCTGCCCTGATCTTCCACTATCTTTCTCTCTCTCTCTTTCTCTGGTACGCGTGATTCGTCGAACGACTCTATTTACTTGTGCAGTAGGCAACCCGCCGAGGGAAGAGTCCGCGAGTGGGGGGGCCAGAGAGAGAGAAAGAAGCCAAGGAGCACATCTCTCCGCGACTGTGCTCTCTCGGCTCTTACCCCGTTGACTCTCCGCCTTAACTATCTTCTTTGTTCCCTGTGGACAGAGAAAGATCCTCCGCATTGGCGACACTCCGACTACTCTCGGTTGGTAAGAATATATACTACCCGCGCGCTTAATGGGTTCGCTGATCGGTCGGTTCGCGGAACATCGAGCATTGGACTTGGCATTCGTCAAGGTAGAGCCTCGATTTCGTCACCTGTGTGTATACCGATGTCCTCCTCAATTGGGTCGAATTCTTGGAATTTTTACTTGGGTCAAGCCATCGGTTTTTCGACTTAGGTCAAATCCTTGGAATTTTTACTTGGGCCAAGTCATTGGTTTTTCGACTCGGATCAAATCTTTGGTTCTTTGACGTTTTGGGAGATGTTTGTGAAAGTGATTAGGGAAATTTGACATTTAATCGAGGTTACATCACGCGACAGTTTTCACGGTTCCTAGATGGATCCTCTGGATTATTTAAACTCGATTAAGTGGATATTGGATAATCCCCCGTAGGTTCATTGAATCGACTGTGGGGTGTTCGAAAGTTCCTCAGGTCGCGGATTGTCCTGCGGGTCTTCTATTTTGGCCTTCATCGATCTACCGTCGTATTATTAGAAACCTCGCAAACTTGTACAGAAATTTCATCATCGTCTCGTCTTTGCCTCCTTTTCCCCCTCCTACACACCGACGCAAACTGGTTTCAGTAATTTCTCCGTTCCCCACCTCCAACCCTCCTCGCGATACTTTTTCCGACGATTCAACGACGAACACGTTGACCCCGTTAATGGGTTCCATCGACAGTTTCGTGCGCGCCGTCGGTCATCTTCTCGCCCAGTTGCGATGACGTTGGGGGAGAGGGTGGGGAGATGCCAACGCTCGTCGCGGCTCTCGTTGTTATGTAAACTATCGTGACCGTGCTGCGGGACGTTACATAATTTTCGCGATAAATACGGAAATGTTTCTTTTGGCGATTGTAACGACAATCGTATTCATTGATTCGGCAATGATGCGTGTGGCTGGCCAACAGCGGTCGGTTTGTTGGGGACCGTGGGTCCGATCATTTCTCTCCCCACGTCGAACCGTCCCAATGGGAAAGAGAATGGTGTGTACGGATCCCTCTGTTCGGAGTTCGCGAACAGGCTAGGCTAGGACTCTCGCGTGATTTATCATTCGTTCGCGGGGGGATACCGTTAGGAGTGAATCGATGATTAGGTGTGCCCTGGTCTACGGTTTAGACGACGTGAAATGACAAATGTTGGTGGGTATTCTTTGGTCTTGGGAAAATGTAGCGGGTGTTCGAGAAATTTTTATCGTTTTTTTTTTATTTTTTTTTTTCTGTGGTACGGATTCCGTTAGAGCTCTGTGAGTGTGTACTTGGGAGAGGCTACGGGTCGTGGAAAAATTTAGGTCATAGAAAATAACGACGCACTGTTCTCCGTTGGTACGAGGGGGATCTCGTTCTGTAGCCTTTTTAATTGGGCGCGTCGACTCCGACGCTGTTAGTCCATTAGATTCTTTATGACAGTAATCTGATACTGGCGATGGGCACCTCAATCTCAATTTTCGAAGTTTTTCAGTAGTGTGAAAATTTGAATCACTTCGAATATGAGACGATACTTAACATTCTTGAATGTCCTGAAAGTCTTGATAAGTCTTGAATCTTGAGCCTTGTGTCGTCAATCTTGAATCTTGAGTTTTTCAATTTAAATCTTGAGTCTTAAATTGAGTCTTGATAGCCTTGAGCCTTGAAAGTTTCGATGGGTCCTGAAGGCCTTAGTTAGAATGCTCAAGATTCAATACTTATCAAGACTTCCAAGAGTTTTAAATATCAAATCCAATTCGAAGTGATTATACTACCTACATATTGTATGTATGTACTTGGTGTTTAATTTTTCAAATTCCTTTAAGGTCTCCCTTATTTTTTTCCTTTACTCCAGAATGTGTGCTGAAACAAAAAACAAGCCTACTCACACATTTGATTCATTCGTCTACATGGAAAATCATCTTTTGTTCGCCGGTTCCAAAGTACGTGTTATAGTGGACGGTAGCAGCAAGTCCAATAGTTTTCCGTAAAAATCGCACACGCCACATCATTACTCCTTGAATCAGCAACGCGCTGACTCATAACTCATTGCATTTTGCGCGGCGGCGGCCAAGTCTACGACTCACGACGGTCACAGCAATTGCAGAAGAAAAGCTTCGCACACTGGTCGATCGTAACCGTTCGGTGAAAAATTTTCCACGGCCCCCGTGTCCACTGCACACAGTTCGTCGCGTTTTCTCTACCTTCCCGAGTGAAATTAATCTTCCTGCTGTTTCTTGCCCCGTCCCAGTGATCTTGATCTATTCGCGCGATCAACCATGCCAATTAACAATTGTTCTCTCGGTGATTTCTGTTTCGAGCATCAAGTTATAACAATTCCTTCAAAATTTAATAATTTTTCCAAAATTTTCACAATTCTACGAAAATTCTTTTTTTTTATCTCTCTATTGTGATTAACTACGATGATCGCGGACCTCCGTGCTAGTAGAGCAGACATATGCCACAATCACCGTCGTGCCGGTCACCGGTGACCGACACAAGAGACTGCGTTACTCCTTGTGTCGGTCACTGGTAACCGTCGCGGTGTGGGCGTGACAGTGTCTGTCGATCACCGGTGACCGACACAAAGCATGAGCGCAGTACTGTATGTCGGTCACCGGTGACCGTCAGACATTTACGACATTACGTATAATTTTCCGTTCACATCGTGACTGTCAACACTCATAGGTCCATAACTTTCCGTTCACGCTGCGCCGGTCACCGGTGACCGTCAGACATTTACGACATTACGTATAATTTTCCGTTCACATCGTGACTGTCAACACTCATAGGTCCATAACTTTCCGTTCACGGTGCGCCGGTCACCGGTGACCGTCACGCAATATCAACTGGTCGAACAATAGAATCAGTATGAACGGAAAAGTCGTATGCGTTAAGTCATTAACGTAACCGGTATTGCGCCGCGGAAACACTTTGTAACGGAGTGAATATATTGCGCGGATATAGATATTGCCGGGCAGATAAACGGGGCTGTGTGCACGCGGCACACGCTCTCGTATTCGCGGCGTTCACTTCCGCCTACTTAACTGGACGTCTGGGCAACCTTACGCTGTCAAGCCCGCGTCAATTCGCCGCGGCTCCAGCGCCGATTGTAAAACTGAGTTCACCGGGCGCGCGGGCTGTGCTCCGTTTGTGTTCTGACGCAGGCCAGCCAGTATTCGGATTTAGAAACGAATATGCAGCTAGGGACTGTCGAGAGAAGGAAAGAGGGAGAGAGAGGCTGCTTCGTGTCGGAATTGGTATATACGTCGAAATGATTGTGGGATGGATTAACCCTCGGAGTATGGATCTTATGGAGGTGACTACTGGGTCAAATGTGACCCATTACACATACCATTGCCGTTCATAAGTTTTTAGACACTTGGTTGAAGTTTTGGGACACGTCTGATCTGTATGAGGTATATGTGATGTTTCATGAGAAGCATATATGGACCGTTTATTTTGAAAGTGATGTAAGTCCTTTAATTTATGCTTAACTTAGTGTAAACTTTTTGTTTATAACTAGTTAGTATTTAATATCTTAAAAAATTCCAATGCTTTGTTAAAAAAAAACCTATATTTTTTAATTGTCAGATCTGCTAACATTTAATTTTCTCGAAACAAAAGAAAATGGACTTGCACCACTTTCAAAATAAACGGTCCATATATGAGGCTTTGAGAGCTTTAGTGGTGTTGGGATAGTAGGGGCTTTAGTAGAGATCGGGAAAAATAATCTCCTGAATTAGTATAATCATATGAGTACCTATATCTGCGTGTACTGATTACATTGAGTATACTCGTCATGTGTGTCATGACATCATATTTGAGTATGAGGATTATATGAGTATACTGATATGAGTATATCTGGGCATACTGATTATACTGATAAATACTGTGATAATTGTGTGTTCATACATGATGACATCATTATGTGTATAATAACTATACTGAGTATACCGAGTATATCCAGATACTTTTATTTAGATCAATATCAACTCATATTTAGATGACACACAACATCCTCTGTCGAGTTATTAATGAAGTAAGACATACACCACTTAAGCACAAGATAGAATGGAGTCAGTATTATCTTTGTACGATCTTAACCTACAATTTTTAAAAAATTTACTTACACTATACATGCTCCCAAGGGCTTATATTTAGGGCCACTTTTATTGCATTATGTTAGCATAATGTGTTCTCTGTGTATTTTAATACCCCCTAAATGATATATATTCGAGTCCTTCAACAATTTCACAATGCCTTATGATATTTACTTCATATTTTGTGTGTCCTAATACTTATGAATAGGTGTATACATGTATACTCGCAAATATTAGGGTTCTTTGCATCGATGGGTCATCGGTGACACGGCCATAGGAATAATGCTATAGCTAAATGACAGTTTTTTTTCTTTTTTTACTTTTTTCAATTTATAAATTTTCATAACTAGTAAATCAATGTGCCTCACAGTGTCATATGTGTTAAGAAAAAATACTCTGGTTCCACAACAC